CTATAAAAATTCTGGAAGAGGAACCAGGCAATAACCTCTTTAACATCAGCCATAGCAACTTTTTTCTAGAGGCAAGGGATACAAAAGCAAAAATAAAGTACAGGGACTATATATATATATATATAAGCTTTTGCACAATGAAGGGGGAAAAAAATCAACAAAACTGAAAGGTAACCTACTGAATAGAAGAAGTTATTTGCAAATGACATACCTGATGGAGGTTTAGTATCCAAAATACATAATAACTTATATACCTCAACACCAAAAAACCCCTCAATTATCCAATTAAAAATTGGCAGAAGACATGAACATACATTTCTCCAAAGAACACATACAGATGACCAACAGACACATGAAATGATGTTCATCATCACTTAGTATCAGGGAAATGCAAATCAAATCTACAATGAGATGTCACTTCCCACCTGTTAGAATGGCTAAAATCAACAACACAAGAAACAACTGGTATTAGTAAGGTTCACTGTTGGTGGGAATGCAAACTGGCGCAGCCACTGTACAAAAACAGTGTGGCGCTTCCTCCAAAAGTTAATCACACTACTGGGTATTTATCCAAAGAATCCATGAACCCCTCTGTTTATAGCTGCATTATTTACAATAGACAAGTTACGGAAGAAGCTCAAGTGCCCATTGATTGATGAATGGATAAAGAAAATGAGGTGTTATATGTAAATATATAATCACACAATGGAATATTAGTCATAAAAAAGAATAAAATCTTGTCATTTGCAACAACATGGGTGAAACAAGAGATATAACAATAATAAGCCTGTCAGAGAAAGACAGAGACCATATGATTTCACACATATGTGAAAATTAAGAAACAAAATAAATAAGCAGAGGGGAAAAAAAAGTGAAATAGAGACAAATCAAGAAATAGGCTCTTAACTATTGAGAACAAACTGATGGTTAGCAGAGGGGAGAAGGTGTGGGCCATGGGTTAAATAGATGATGGGGATTAGGTAATATGCTTATTGTGATGAATGATGGGGACATACGGGATTGTTAAATCACTATATTGTATACCTGAAATTAATAGAACACTGTATGTTAACTAGAATTAAAAACTTAAAAAGCTGGGACGCCTGGGTGGCTCAGTTGGTTGGGCAACTGCCTTCATCTCAGGTCATGAGCCTGGAGTCCCAGGATCAAGTCCTACATCGGGCTCCCTACTCAGCAGGGAGTTTGCTTCTCCTTCTGCCTGCCCTTCCCCACTCTTGTGCATGTTCACGTGTGCGCGCACTCTCTCTCTCTCTCTCAAATAAAATCTTTTAAAATTTAAAAAAAATTTTAAAAGTTAAAAAAAAAATAAAATGTAACAGTGAAATTCACAACTTTAATATAAGAAGTGAGAAAAATTATTGTTTTAATCAAGATAAAAGCAGATTACAAAATTCTACCACCTAATTTCCATTAACAATGAACTAGAAATAAAGAGCACTTTCTTAACTTGATAAAGATTGCTTCTATCAACGATATGTTTAAAGGAGAAACTTTTTACGATGTTACCTTTAAGTCAAGAGTGCTTACAATCTCTGATGTTGTTTAATATAGTACTGAAAGTCACAACTAATTCTATAAAGAAAAAATTTATATGTAAAGTTCAGAAGAGATTAAACCATCATTATTTGTAGATGATCATTTATCTGGCAATAAAATCAACAGACAAATATGAGAATAATAAGAAAATTCAGCAAGGTTGATGGACAGCAGATCAATGTACAAAAATCAATAGCATTTATCTATATTGACAATCTCCAACAAAAAATTATAACTAAAAAGATGCCATTTAAAATACCCAAAGAATCCATAAATTCTATAGTAGGTAAGTTAATCACAAATACGCAAAACCTCTATGGAGAAATTTTGAAACTGTAATGAAGGACAAAATAGAGGAGCTGAATAATATGGGGAAATATTCCATGCTCTAAGAAGGAATAATTTACTAAATTAAAAGTGTGAATTATCAATAAGTGCAGCTACAAATTTAATGCAGAACCAACTAAAATTCCATATGGATTTTTGAGAAACTTGATAGCTTGCTGTAAGTAGAATAATAAAAATAAGCTGTGAAAAGAAAAGAGGTAGGCCTTGCCCAGGCTATTAGTAGGATGTACTGCCCAACCATGGCAATGAAACAATATTGACAGAAAAACAGACATGGAATGCAGTGGAACAAATTAAAGAATTCAGGAACGTATATGCATATAGCATATTGGGTACCATACACATATGATAAAGATGATAGTGTTGGGAATCTGGCTCACTAAGTGAACAAAAATAATACTTCAGTCCCTACCTAATACCACATACAAGGGTACCTCTAGATGTTAAAAACCTGACTGTGAAAGGTAAAACTTTAAAGTTAGTAGTTGATAACATAAGAGAATATTTTTTGATAAGGTATTGAAAGATTTCTTAAACCCTAAAGCATAAAACTCCAAGGCAAATTTTTTTTGTAAGGCAAATTTTTAATAATATCAGAAATTTTTGAAAATTCTGTTCAAGGATAAAAGATTATGAACAAAGTTAACTGAAAGTTAACAGATTGGGTGATATTACAATGTCTAAAATTGACACAGAAGTAGTATCTAGAATACACCAGGATTTCTTGCAATTCAATAAATACAGAAACCCTAATAGGAAAAAGACGAAGGATATAAACAAGCATTTTACAGAAAAGTAAACCAACATGCTTACAAGCACATGAAGAGATGCTTAAGCAATTTAAAACAATAGTGAGATACCATTTTGCATTCATTAAACTGGCAAAAAATTAGAAAGCCATATAATGCCAAGTGTTGGCAGTAATGTAAAGCTCTAGGATCCTTTATTCCCTGCTGGTAAGTATGTAGACTGGTACAGCCTATCGAGAAAACAATCCTGTAATATTTTATAAAATATATTTACCCCTCTCTATGACCCAGAAATCCTGCTCTTGGGTTTACCTTTCAAAGAAATTCTCATTCAAGTCTATAAAGGGGCATCTAAATTTACCACAGTGTTGTTATAATGGCAAAGAATTGAAAGCATTCTGGGTGCCCATCCCTTGAACTGGACAGTTTCTACACACTATGCAGTGGTAGAGTACTATATTGCAGTAGAGAAATGGACTGGTTGTGTATGTAACAACATGAAGAGATTTTTAAAAGAGAGTTGTGTGAATTAAAAGTAAGCAGAATAATCAGCTTTATAGCAAGTATTTAATTAAAATTATTTGCACACAGCATATGAACAGAAGAGCACGCTTCACAGTTTAGTTGCAAATGGGATAGGATCAAGGAAAAGTGAAAAGACTATTTTTTTTAAAGGAGAAGAAGTGTTATTTCCTTTCTGTTCCCATCTAACTATAAAAGAGTCTAGATAGATTCATGTTTCAGTGACTTAAGTAATCTTTGTATAATTTCCTCACTTGGGGCATCTAATGCGCAGAAAACACCATCGCGTAATCACCCAGCCTCTGTATCATTTAGCTCAAGCATATAACTACAAGAAATGCAAAAGAACGAACAACATAGTCTGATGCCCTCTAGAACATCTAGAATTTGACAACAGCCTGTCTTAAAGCAAGTAAATGTTCTCCTCCCCCACACTGCTTTGCAGCAGACATGTCCAGAGAAAGCTTGCCAAACTTTACATAGTGACAAACGTCTTCCATCTGTCTGGCTTCTTGTTCTTGGAAGGTTTCTTGGCAATCAGGCCACACCTTCCTCGGGAAGATCTGTACATTGTGTGTGGAAAAAAATAAATAACTCAAGTTTGATTTTTAAAGAAGAGAAAGAACCTATAAATATAAAATGAAGTAAGGTCTGCCATCAGGGAAGTAAGGTCAATCAGGAGGAACATCTATATACAATCTTTGTATTTTGGGGGCTCCTCGAGGTGATACTACTTTCAAAATTAAGTGCAGCACATCTCTTAAAATTTCTAGGCTTTAGAATTTGATAATAGATGACTGTCCCTCTGAAAAATATATTTTGAGTCTGCTACTTTTATAGGGGTAGCTGACTAATGTCTCATTTTGTGGTTTTCTTCCACTGGGATGGTTTTGATCTTCATTTTATTTCAATTTTGAATAACAAAATTTATTTTATTTTATCAAACACATCCACAGTGTTCCTTGTATCACCTCTATCCTTTCTGAATGGGGTAGGATAATTCCTTGTCAGGGAACCCAGTACAAAGAGATCACCTATATTGATTCATTTTTTTTTTCAAGTAAGAATCCTATAAAAGAGGAAGTACTTTCTCATTTTCTAGATGAGGAAAAAAGGTTCAGAAAAGTTATATAATATGTCCAAATTCATATTTGTATGTCTAGGGAGGAAAAAATGACAAAGTGTATATGTCAAGGAAAATAAATGTTTAATGTGAATGCTGTAATCTGTCTTAAAATATAAAATAATGATCTCATACCTTTAGTTTCCTGTTGGTTTAATTAAAATGCCATTTATATTAGTGTTTGGCTATAGTAGCTCAATGAAAATACTTTTTTTATTAATCATTTCTTAAATTACTAAACTTGTCTCTTTTTTTTCTGTTGGCTCCTATTTATGTAGATTTTTCAAGTTAAATTACCCACCTGAATAATATGCCCAGTTTTTTTTCACTCTAAATGACTTTTTTCTAGACTCTAATATTCTATACAATAAAAAGTAGCTAAGTAAGGCCATAAAGTAAATAAAAAAAATGTTCCCGTTGAATTTAAAATAAGTAGCCTTGGTTAGGTACCCAATATGTGAACTAAATATAGGTTTTACTTGTATGCTTTGAACCCTATGTTTTAAGTTATCATTTACTGGGTGCTCATTATGTGTCAGACATTACGCTAGACACCCTTAAAACATCCTCACTGAAACAGTGTGGCTGATATTATTTCCCCAGTTTATAACTATTGCAATATCATTTTCCCTAAATAATAGGAAATTTGGGACCAAAAAGAGATGAAATGGGTTGCCTAAGGACACACACCTAACAAGGAAAAGAGCTGAATATGATGCGCATATCCTTGATAAGGGTAACAAGACTATCAGAAGACCTCAGAATGAATTCTTGTTCAAGTTGGTGAGTTGAGCTATATTTCTTTACCTCCACATCCAACTGTAATGACAAGTAAATAAATATAAAGGGAATGAGGCAAAATAACTGACCAGAGATTTGACATGATCTCTGGGATCATACTGATGATAAGCCGGAGTGGTGACAGCTGAGTCCAGGACATGAGCAGGAAAAGCCTGGAAGGGAGGTAAAAATTGCTCTTCCAGCAGACTTTTCAGAAAGATTTAAAGCTCAAAGTCAACTGGTATCAAGAACAGAAGTAGAAAATGAGGCAAACATCAAGGTGATGAATTGTAGGACATCCTTCAGTTACGCAAGTTGGCACACCTCTCCTTGTGTGCAGTAAGGGTAGTTTTTCCCAAACTGAAAACCAAGAATGATTCTGTATAGAGGAAAAGAAATACCTGGGAAGAGCTAAAACTTCTAAAATTGGCTATTAGTTCTCCCAGAGGTTTAGGGTGGGACAGAGACCACCAGCTTCCTTTTCAGACATCCTAAAGTGATTGAAGCCTGACAATCAATGAAGAGGTCTACTGAGGAACTAGGCCTAGACACCAGACACAAAGCTTCATGTCCCCTAGCTGTGTAGATTAACCTAGCCCTTCAGTCAGAAAATGGATGACTAAGGATCATATTTGAGATGACCAGGTAGCATAAGGAAGAACTGGTATGAAAAAGCAAAACAACCAAACCAGGAACAAACAGCAATAATTCAGGCAACAGAAGAAAATTTAATAAGTATTTTAATTTTCTCAAGGAGATTTAGGAAAATAAACATACAATTATGAAAAACAACCAGAGCAAGAAAGAGTTCATAGAAATTAAAAGAGACTTCCAAATGAAAACTAATTTACTAAAAAGGAAAAAAAATAAGAAAATTTCCTACAAGGGAAAGTAAAGAGCAAAAGATGAAAAAAATGAGAGGAAAGTTAAGAAATATGGAGATCAATCCAGAAAGTCAAATATCTAACTCTTAGAAGTTCCAGAAAGAGAAAAGGATAGGAGAAAGTCATTTTAAGCAATCACAAAAGAAATTTCTGAGTGGAAAAATCTAAAAGGGCCAACTAAGTGGTAAGGTTGATGAATAAAAAGAATCACATCTAAGCACATCATCATGAATATTCAGAACCCCAAGGGAGAAGAAAAGATCTTAAAAGTTTCTATGAAGAGAAAAGAAATACCTACAAAAGTGTAATAAATCAGGTTAATATCAAAATTTTTTAGCAGCATCAATGAATGCTGAAAACAATGTCTTTAAAATTCTGAGGGCAAAATGACTTTGAACCTATAACTCTGTATTCTGACAAACAATCAATCATGCACAAAGACATGTTTTCAGACATGGGAAGACTTAGAAATTTTACTTAGAAAGTACCTGAAATGCTTAGAAAGTATTTGAAATTATACTCCACAGGATGAAAAAATAAGAACTGTAGAAATAAGAGGACCTGTATTCAACACAGAGTTGGATTCAAAATTCCAATAATTTGGTAAGATTTCCATGATGGTTATTCTGCTGAAGACCTAAAGCAACTTGTACAAATTATTGTACAAGTTGGGACTTGTATTGTACTTATTGGGACTCCAACAAGAATGCCTTCAACAAAAATATGAAATTTTCTTTTAACAAATAGTGTGATTGATTAAAAAGTTAGATGGTCTTAGAAATAAGTAAAATATATGGATCTTTTTTATTTCTTTAACATGAAAAGGGAAAGCAGGTGGCAATTCCAAAGGCAGGGGAGCAATATGTGAAAAATCTCCACGCAACACATGTAAACTAAAGGTAGCATGGTTTTGAGCAGTTAGTCTAGAAAGAGATAATCCATTGGTCCTTGAAATTTGGAACATTCTGAATATGCACAGATTCAGTTATTCAAGGTTCATTTCTTAGGATCAACGAATAGACAAAGAACAGACTTTTTTTTGTTGTTTTTTTACTGCAGTGACAGGTTATGAATGCCATCATCTTCAATTATCTAAAAATACAGGAATAGAAAGAGAAGTAGGAGGATAAAGAAAGAAAAGTAAAAAATAGAAGATACTATTTAAAATTTATGGGTGTAAAAACGGAAGTAACCAGTAGAAAAATTAAAAATATAATTAATGAAACAAGGAAGAGAATAGGGAAAGGAAAAAATGAAATATAAACCAGCTAAATACCACATTTGTCACATTTTAGAAGCTAATGATTATTTTATTTCCTAAAACCCATAATCCCTATTTTCCAATGTCAATGTTCCTCATTAGAGATACATTCCTACCTATACTTCCTGTCATGCAAAGTCTACCTCCAAATTCAAATCCAAATAAATGTTTATGGTCTCTCTCCTTGCTCTTCTAATCTCAAGTCCATGCCTAATGCCTCTCACTGGCAGTTTTTCAGGCAGTCCCTGACCTCTACATCTTAGACCTCAGCATAAAGGACAACAAAGAATGTCAGGAAATGGCAAATGACAAGACCTGCCAGCTACCAGCTTGAGAGAAGTCAGGGACCTGCAGGATGTCATTCCAGGCATGCTGGTGAGGGAAAAAAAAAAGTGCTTTGCCGGTGAGTTAACCTGCTGTGCCTCTGCCCTTATTCTCCTGCTGTCTGTGTCTAGAAAATGCTTCTCTTACAGGTTTGAGCCAGGGAGCAAGAAAAGCACCCAATTTATTTTTGCAATAAATTTTGGATTTTTGATTTCTACCTCCCTTGCCTCTCATATTCCAATTTATTCATTCACATTTGAGAATGGAGCAACTAGAACTAGCTTATTCTCTGACTGAAATCTCATCAGAGAGACTGGAAAACTCAAGCTTTTAGAGCTAAAGAAGGCTGTGGCAAGAAGGCCAAGACTGAAAGGAAGAAACAGAAAAAGGCACCAAAATAAAATAAGAATACTACGATAAAACCACCCAAGGGAAAACAGTGAAAATGTATCCACAATTTACAGATCACTATGGGGTAGAATTTTTTTTTTTAATTTTATTAATTTATTTGAGAGAGGGACAGAGAGTATGAGCAGGGGGTAGGGGCAGAGGGTGAGGGAGAAGCAGACTCCCCACTGAGCAGGGAACCCGAGGTAGGGCTGGATCCCAGGATCCTGAGATCATGACCTGAGCCGAAGGCAGACACTTAACCAACTGAGCCACCCAGGTGCCCGTGGGGTAGAAATTTTTAAAATTCTTAGTATGTTTCTATATTACCACAATATTTTAACAACTTATTGAACATCTGCATATCTTACTCATCTTCTATCTCATTACCCACCTCTTAGTACATTCCAGTAATTCTTTCTATTCTTGAAGCTTTTCTACTCTATTCTATTTCTATTCTTGAAGGTCATCCCTGCCTCAAGCCTTTGTTACTACTGTTTCATATTTGGAATATGATTACCCCAGCTTGTTCCACAGCTGTTCTTTCTTATCCTTCATTTCTTAACTCAAAGGTCTTTCCTGACCACCCTACTTAATGAAACTCACCTTACCTCTCAGCTATTTATCTCATTATCTACTCCTATCCTTATAGCACTTGTTTCTATCAAAAATTATTTATTATATTTGTTTTGCTTGCTAATCATCTATCTACCCCTACCCCCACAAGAAATATCCATGAGGACAGGAGTTTTTATCTGTCATTTTCACTATTATATCCCCAGCATCTATAGTCCTAGCCGGGCACATGTTATATGCTCTATAATGTTTCCTAAAAAAAATAGTACATTCCATACATTATCCTAAACTCTTTAGATATGTGATTGTTTACTCTCTACAACAATGAGAGATACTCTACACCCTTTCAAGATGCAGACACGGAAAGAGTTAAGGGACTTGCCCAGTGTCACGCAGTAAGCAAAAGTGGAAGTTTGTGGATTCAGATGTAGGTTTGTAATCCCAAAATCCTTCCTCCTAGCCATACTGCGTCCCTGGAATATGCAAGGAAATTTCAAGAGCCACTGAATGTGGGAAGTCATAAAATGTGATCCTTGCATTTGAAGACCATGGAGAACTAGTTGGGCAAAATAGGACTTTTACATAAAGGGACAAACAAATAATAATAACAAGAAGCAGCTGCTTTCATGATAGCCTCTATCTTAAAGGTGTGAAAACAAAGAACCTGAAATAAAGAGAGGGAGATACAACGTAATAGTGGCCCACCATTCCAAGGCTCGGTACCTGCGATCTCTCAGCCTTCATAAAAAAACGTGCTATCCATTCTATCGTTACCAATAGGATCATTCACAATACTGGATTACCAAATTCTGGGGGTCTTGAAAGCTGAAGGTGTTAAACATCTACAGTTTTTAATTTTTATTCTTAAAATCTTGGGAATGGATTACATATGTTACAACATTATTAAACACTACTTGCTTCTTCCCAAGTTTGTGCTAAAAGACCAATTACTTCTGAATTATAAAGACTTTGTATTTAATATAGACTTCTGAACCTATCCTCAGATTATCTCATTCACATGGTCTGGGGGGGGGCACACCTAGGAACGTATTATCAGGCTTTCCAGGTGATCCTAATAATCAGCCATGTTTGAGATCAGTGAATAATGAATATAAATTAACCTTTACTTGATGACTCGAGGTGTCTTTATTTGTGCCTATGATTTGTGCAAGTGACAGTTACTTCCCTGGGTCTCAATTTCCTCACCTGTAAAAGTTACAATAAATTGGATTGTATGATCTCTAAAATCCTGTTGACTTCTAAAATTCTAATTCTGCAAAAAGGAGCTTTCCCAGGACACTGACTAAAACTTTCTTCTTTAAAGAATGCCCCACCACCCCCACACACATATTTTCTTTTCAAAATGCATCTCTTATTGAGAAACTTCAAATATAAGACATGTAACCACAGAAATAGTAAAACCATGTTAATAACAAATTCTGCAAATAGTCTGCCAAGTTTTTCTTTCTGAGCCCTGATGACATATAAGTGTAAATTCATATTACATTGATCCATCAAAAATTTCCAGTTCTCATTTGTATCAGGTTCTATATATGAAACAATCTGACATTCCAAACAAGCAAATGAATAAACAGAAATGTGATCTGACAGACTCATACGCACATATACATATATATACATATACATACAGAACCTTTGAAGTAAATAGCCCCAGAATAACATGTTTATATGACTCTCTCTACACCAGCAGCTTTCAACCAAAGGTATTTTTGCCCTCAAGGTGATATTTGGCTATGTTTTTAGACATTTTTGATTATCACAGTGGGCAAGGAGGTTGCTAGTAGGAGTACAGAGGTGCTGCTAAACATCTAGTAGGAGTCCAGAGGTGCTGCTAAACATCTTAAAACAAACAAAACAGCCCCCACAACAAAGGATTATCTGGCTGAAATGTCAATAAAGTCCAGGTTGAGAAACCCTGCTCTATGCAATGGTCTTAGGCATCAAATAAGGGAAAGTCAAACCCTTCACTCAGGCAGCTAACTAGAAAAAAGAAAAAAACACTTGCCTCCACAGTTCCATTTAAGTCTCTTTAACCAAAACTAGTTACTGACTACACCATGAAGTGTTTATTTCCACCCTGAAACTTCTAAGCCCTGTAGAAAACAAAGAGCTACGTCTTCCTATTTTGGGTCTATAAGTAGTCTTTTATTCTCACTGTCCTAGGCATTTTCCTGCAGAGTGAGTGAAATCCTTCACCAGATGGTGGGGAAAGATTTTGATAATCCTTACTCCACCTAATCTGAAAATAAAAGTTTCTGCAACTTCTGGCCTAGTATTTTGTATATTTCACATACATTGAAAAGAAATGGAGGGGAGGGTACCTGGCTGGCTCAGCTGGTGGAGCAGGCAACTCTTGATCTCAGGGTTGTGAGTTCAAGCCCCACATTAGGTGTAGAGATTACTTAGAAATAAAATCTTAAGGAAAAAAAATGTTCCATGTTTTAGGATAGCTTGTCTTTTTAAACAAAATTATTATGAAGACAAATAGCAATCTAATTTGCATGTAGTAGTGATGGTCTAGATTTTGTCTAGATATGCAGATTTTGCTGCATCTTGATAACTTGCAGATAATAATAGAACTTTATAGTTGGAGAGATCAAGATCTTGGAATTTATTATCTCATTTCTTAATACCATAAAAGTAATCAAATATAAGATCCCATTAATGAAAATATACGATATTAAATTGTATACCTTTAAAAGGAAATGTATGTCAATTGAAAATGACATGCTCTCAATCATAAGACAGATCTCAAGTTAAGAGACATCAAAATGGGGCAAAAGCGCAGCTTAGAATTGGTAAAATACATTATTCTATACCATATTGCCTTTTACTCTTTCTCAGACAAAAGCCATGTGTCATATTATTTTATGAAGTTTCTTCCATACTCTGGTTTCTCTTCAGATCACATAAATCTCTTGCCTTTTTCTATGAAAGTTCTTCCATAATAATGTAAAGAGGCATACCCATGGGACAAAACACATAAATGGTGAGAAAACTAAGTTAAAGAAATGAACCAAAATCTTATGTAATTCTAAGTTTCCTTTTAAATTATAGATGCACTGCATACTTTGCTAATTAGACAAGTTTTTAAAAATTTTATGTTGTCTTACTGTAGTTACAGTTTTTAACTGGGAGAAGTTATAACAGGTATTATAATGAACAAAAATAACCTGGATTTCAATTAATTAGAAGTAATAATTAACCATGTAAAAGAGAGAGAGAGATTGCCTTCTTTGACAGAAAGGTGGATAATTTTTGCTTGGAAAATGATCTTGGGGTCAGACCATTTAAGCTAATTCTGTGTTTTCTATAAATTCTACCTATAATGAAGGTGATAAAACTAGATATATCCTGTAATTGCTTTGAGGCACTATAATACCTTTTGATACCAAAAAAAGAAAGTTTGTCATGGCTCCTATACTAAGCTTGGCATTGTAGAAAACGGTGGGGAGGAACCTGAGAAAGACTTCTAACAGAAGTATTTCACAGAACAACCTATCCACCTAAATATTTTTATAGGTTTTTTTTTCCCTGAAGGAGAAAAGACTTGTTGGATGAGTAAATGCCCAGAAAAAGTAGAAAATTATACATAGGAATGGTTTTTTAACTAAAAGCTGAAAAGCAAATAAGGCTAAAAGAGCAGGAGAACAAACTCCCCCCGCCCACGCACACACCCTAGTGCATACGCCAAAGCTGTGGACAAGCGCTTAATAACACTGTTGGCTGCAAACCCTCCAGGCAGAGCCTCAGTACAGTGTGCTGCCTGCTTGTGCATAGTGGCCATCAAGCTGCCAAAGGTATCAAAATCCCAGGGTGCTGTCTCAGTAATTCTGCTAAAATAACCCTGTAAATACCAATCCAGAACTGAAGAGAGAAAACAAACAGGGCCCTAATGCTTCAGTACCAACCAAGTGCAAACTAAGGTCAACAACCTACTCCTTGGCATTGCAATATGTTACAATATAGTCATAAAGCACAATGTTTGTTGGAAAAGGGTAGCCATAAAACCCTGAACAGTGGACAACCAACTACTGCCTTTCTGAAATTGAAAGTAAACTCTGACTTATCTAGCAGTTGAGGCTATGGAATCAGTAATGAGGGCATCAGTTCCCCCTCCAGAGGGCAGCCATATACTCTCGTTATTTATTTAGCAGCCTCAGAAATCCCAGTTCTGCTTCCAGTTGCACCTTCTACAAAATGGCAAGTAATGCGGTGCTACTGCTGCACCACAATAAATAGCCCTTTCTGAAATGTTAAAATTAGCCAACTACACAAGTGAATTGAAAGTAGGTTTTTGTTAAGAGTAGGCAAGGAGCTTCAAAATGCCTGAACATTGGTTATCTTGAGGGAAGTTACACAGGTATACTGACGCCCCCTGTTAGAAACCTGCAAAATAGCTTCATGTTGCCTTTAAGTAAAATCGGGATCTTTCAAGATCTGGAATATCAGATCATGTTTATTCTTATTTTGAAATGGCATTCCCTGCCCTCCAAAAAAAAGAGAGAGAGATAAATAAATAAATAAATAAATGTCTCATTTACACTAGCATATATACTTAACTTAGTATACATCCAAAGGGCTTTCTCTAAATATCCTATGAATAAATGACTATGATAAAAACATACATTGAACATATATGAACATGATCTGCATTTAAATAAAAATATATTAACTATTTTCAGTATTATAATCAAATAAAAGTTCAAAAGTTAAAGTAATATGTTCAGTTAGGTACATAATTATAGACTTTTAGGGTTATAAGGAGCCCTACAGGTCACCTAAGACCAACTCCCTCAATTTAGAGATAAAGAAACAGGATTAGAGGGAGCCTGCTTCCTCCTCTCTCTCTGCCTGCCTCTCTGCCTACTTGTGATCTCTCTCTGTCAAATAAATAAATAAAATCTTTAAAAAAAAAAAAAAAGAAAGAAACAGGATTAGAAAGGCAGCCACTGCCCAGGAGTCAAAGAAAAAATCCAGCAGGTGCCAGCATCTCTCTCCAAGACCCATGTTTCCACCCTGATCCACTGTCATTATAAATCTTCACAATAATTAGGGATGAAACAAAACCATCATATAAATTATAAATGACTATTAGTCACATGACTTTAATTCAGCTAAGCTGAGAAAGTTTATGTCTGAGGTATTTGGGAAGCCAGAAGCTACAATACAAAATACTTACTGAACTTTCTGTGTGATCCCAATTCTTCATTTGGTCATTACAGAATCCCAAAGGAGATGTACTTTACTAGTCACAGTTTACCGATGAAGTAATGGAGACTCAAAAACCTCAACCGCAGAAGTTCATCTAAAAACTCTTTGATCTATAACCCAGGTAAGCCCCTCTGTGCTGCTTCTGTGGGTAACCTCCGAACCACTATCTTACTCGCAAGAGAGACAGAGGATATGTTTAGCTTGGAGCAAGATGGTTATTTCCCTTATACTGTGAAGTGCCTTCTTCTGTTGAAAGCAGAGATCTGTTCCAGAATCGCTGGGGAGTTGTATGTGAAGGAGAGGGAGTAAAATGACCCCTCAGAAGTCAGCAAATCAGTGACATCGATGTTTGTTGCATTAGTTTCTAAAAAGGGATTTCCACACTATTGTGATCTTTCCTTCATTGCCCTATTGCCTTTTTTTTTTTTTTTACCAACACCAAGTCTGACATTCACATGGATTCCTCTTCCTGTGCATGTTACTCCCCCAGCAGTCTCATTTCCACAATGTACTGCATTTATGTGTATCCGCTCTGTTTCCAAACCCTACTTGTTGACAATTTGGATAGACATTTTAAGACTGTGTAGAACAAAGGGTTATTATAAAGGTATTTGGATAGCATCAGGTGCATTCCCATTAATTATGGAGAAGCTGATTTCCAGACAGGTAATACAGCTAGTCAGAGACAAAACTGAGACTTGAGGCAAAGTTCTGTCAAGTCTAATACTCTTCCTACTACACAACATACTTGGTTGTATGATTGGTCTAAAAATAATAAACACATATGACTTATTTGGGCCAAATATATTATCTCAAGTCAATACCATGTTATATTTTTTAATAACAAGGTGAAAACAAGGATGGCAATCAAGAGATTGCAGCATAGGGTAGTAGAAAGACAATATAAGCTTCACAGCAGGATATATCTAAATTTGATTTGGGATCCCTAATTTACTAGCTGTGTTACGTTGGACAGGTTGCTGAACTTTTCTGAAGCTGTCACTACCTGAGAGTACAAAGAATTAGATGCAGTGGTATATATAAAGCATGTGACATATAGTAGGTGCTAAGTTTCCATTAATTCTAACCTACCACAAAAGAGCTATGCCACACTAGCAAGTTCCTTTAGCCCTCTGGGTCTCGTTCCCTTCATTGCAAATTGAGAAGATGAAAGAAACCAAATGAACTCCTATGTCCCTTTTAGCTCTTCAAAAAATAATGAGTTCCCAAAGGTTCCTTTACCCTAATTTAAATTCAGCAGTTAAGTACCTTATATCCATCCTAAGCACTGAACAGTACCAACTATCAACAGGAAGATATCTATGATTTCAGCAAAATGGGATCCAACTCCATATCACTTTAAGTTCCACAAAGAAAAATAACTATGCAAAACCAAAGGATTTCACAAACCTAATGTAAAAAATATAAACAACTGAGTGTATACATTAAATTACTACTCTCTCTTTTGCAGAGTTGAAAGATAAGAATTAAAATGTTTATACTATATAACAAAACATCTAAGAGACACTTGGTTAGAGCAAGTAATGCCATTAAAAAAAATGAGTAATACATTTCTCTTCCTATGTGAGTCTTTTTTTAAAATATTTATTTATTTCTTTATGATTTTGTGGGGGAGGAGCAGTGGGAGAGTCAAGCAGACTCCCTGCTGAACGCAGAGCCCAACACAAGGCTCAATCCCAGAACCCTGAGATTATGACCTGAGTGAAAGCAACAGTGGGGGAGGCCCAATGGACTGAGCCACCCAGGCGTCCGCCAATTTGAGTCTTAAACAAGTCTTTGAATTTAAAATACTTGTGTCATTTGGGAACCAAGGGGAATAAAATTTACCCTAAGAAGTATTTTACAGAGATAAACATTAATATAAGAAGATGGTTAACCACGTTCTCACCTGACTTCTGAATCTCATGTTTGGGATTTATGTTCCGTAAAATAAAATATAATTTTTTTAAAGATTTTATTTATTTGACAGAGAGAGATCACAAGTAGAGAGAGAGAGGAGGAAGCAGGCTCACTGCCTTGCAGACAGCCCGATGTGGGCCTCGATCCCAGGACCCTGAGATCATAACCTGAGCTGAAGGCAGAGGCCCAACCCACTGAGCCACCCAGGCAGCCCCAAATAAAATATAATTTAAATGCTTGAATCTTATAAGTGAGACCTGAGAAAATACTAACTGATCTTAAGTGAAAATTTTAACTACAAAGTTTTTCCTTTTCTCCTCCATAAGAAAATTATTATCAATGGGTTTTTCATTACAGATAAGGCTTTTTGCAAATAACATTGTGGAGGTTCAAAATACATTTAAAATCATATGTAGAGGGGCGCCTGGGTGGCCCAGTGGGTTAAAGTCTCTGCCTTCGGCTCAGGTCATGATCCCAGAGTCCTGGGATCAAGCCCCACGTTGGGCTCTTTGCTCAGCGGGGGGCCTGCTTCTTCCTCTCTCTGCCTGCCTCTCTGCCTACTTGTGATCTCTGTCTGTCAAATAAATAAATAAAATCCTTAAAAAAAAAACCTTTGTAGAACTCTTAATCATGGTTTTCCAAAAATTCATTTGAGGTTTGCCCTGTACTGTGCCTGTACAGTATTATTGACTTACAGAATTTTAGAGTGTACATCTTAGATCATAAAACACCACCACCAACAACAACAAAAAAAAATCTTTGCCTTATAGGAGTATGAAGAGACAGGAAAGACTCATTTAGATATTATCTCCAGTGTATGAAATAAACTATATAGTTTTGTTTTGTTTTTTATAAAGATTTTGTTTATTTATTTGACAGACAGAGAGAGATCACAAGTAGGCAGAGAGGCAGGCAGAGAGAGAGGAGGAAGCAGGTTCCCTGCTGAGCAGAGAGCCCGATGTGGGGCTCCATCCCAGGACCCTGGGATCACGACCTGAGCTGAAGGCAGAGGCTTTAACCCACTGAGCCACCCAGGCGTCCCTATATAGTTTTTTTTTTTTTTAATTCAACAGCTGTGTTCTATGAGCTGATGTTTTTGTCCTGTATAGAGATGAAGAGTAAACTCTTTGCATTGTATGCAAGGTTCTGAGAGCCACAGAAATATGATTTAGGTCTATATGTATCAAGCATAGTGTGAACCAGAGATAGAAGGCCTGGATCCTGTTTTAGTCATTACTATAAAATTGATTTGTGATTTGGACAAGTCACTTCACTTTTTTGGTTTTGTCTGTTTACCTGTGAAACAACAGGAGAACCATCTGATCTCTTTAAGATTTCTTGTAGTTCCTATAATTTACATCTGTGCAAATCCTCAGTGCAGCATTTGGGGGGCATGAGACATGGGGCAAAGACATTCACAGGAGTGCACTTATTCTGCTCTCTATACTTATACTGCCAGGACGAAACAGCTTTGCAGAGAGCCAAATACTAAATAGCCTGGTGTCGTGCCGTGGCTAAAGAACACCATTGATGACTATGAAAGCACTTAAAGAAATTCAGCCAGAGGAAACAAACTACTTTCTGAATGTAGTCCAAAAAATAGGTAGGGGGCGTGTAAGCCCTCGCAACCTCAGACCCTTTATGTCCTTGGCCTTTCATCTTGGCTGGCAGAAGACACTGAGTTTTCTTAGGTGACTCATGCTTTCTTAGCCTTAAGAGAAATTATTCTGAAAATGAGTGGTTCTCCTCCCTGGTCCCACATCTGACCCTTAAAAATACATGTATTTTTATGTATCAGCTGTACGATATGCAGCATTCTTAGAACACCTTCATAAAACAGAGTTCAGCAGAGTGGTTAAAAGTATGAAATGGGCCCAAATCCTGGCTCTACTACTTACCTGCTATGAAATCTCAGGAAAAAGGCTTAGCCTCTCCCTGCTTCAGGTTCCTTTTCTGTAAAATAGGGAAACTAATAAAACCTAACTCATGGAGCTGTGAAAATTAAGCAAGATAATGCATACAAAGCAGTTACCGTAGAATCTGACAAGGTAACTGTAACAGATACGTAGATAGATGATAGATAGATAGATGGATAGATAGATACACAGACAGATAACAGATAGATTGATCCTGGGAACTGGGTCTCCCTAAAAGGACTTATCCGAAGGCCACAAACAATTTGTTAGCAGTGAATGGCATCTGCTGATCTTTCCTCTTCTGAGCAAACAATATGGCAAAGACTCAAAGCCTGGCTCAGCTCTTACTAATAGGATCCTGCAGAAATCAGGAGGAAATGAGATTATCCTGAAAGTAGGAAAGAGTTACTCTCATTTAAGACAAGGTCTTTAAAAGCAATAGAAACATATGCAGACATGCACACACACACACACACACACACACACACACACACACACTTAACATAGTCATATAGAATCAGAAAAAGGGGTTGTTTTCTGTATTTGCCTTTTCAAGTGTTGCTGGCATTAAAAGCTACCGAATTTTACTGCTAGATGGCTCCCTGGAGACCATCTAGTTCAACTCCCTCACTTGGTAGATAAGTAGCTGAGGCCCGGAGAAGTTAAGCAACTTACTGGGGGTCATCCAGCTGTAAACGACAGTACCAAGACAAGCTTTCTGATCTCCCCTTTTGCCCACCCAGTACTCAGCCTGGTATCTTTCACGAGCTTGGCAACCTGTCCTTGTTGTGCCAAATAGAGCATGAAGGCACGTGCGCATGCCTACACACACACACACACACACACACACACACACGGTTCTCACTTTTGCTTAAGTTCCCCGAAAGTACAGCAGCAACCTCAACCACCAAGGTCTTGCCAGAGCCTCCCATCAGGGAAATTGAGGAGGATCCCACTCAATCCATGGCCCTCTCTCAGGCTGTCCTTGGAGTTTCTACTCTCCCCTTTCTGTTCCTTCCTCACATCCATTCTTCAGTGCTATTTCTTAGACGTTCCTCACCAAAAAGATCAGGCATTTCCCAGGACAGAAGTGACCCGCGCTAACTTGTAAACTCTTCATCTCCCCACGAATGCTAGACCTTTAGACAGGAAACACAGAGGAACTGTGATTAAATTTCGAACAAGCTCCCCAAGCGAATTCAGTCAGAACTAATCCTCCCCTCCCTCAGATAACTTGGCCAGGTTCATTGATAAAATGCGTGACCAGGTGAAGGACTGGAGAGCCCTCAGGTATGCCTGACACAGAGAACAGGAGGAAGAGGGGAAGGAAAGAAGACTGGAGGGAGATGGTAGGAGAACACTAACCGCACTGTAAAGTGTGGGTCCTGGAAACAGCTATGCTGCGGAGACTGACTCACTGCTAAGGGGACAGAACTACAGAGGGGACGCGCTGTTTTAATCACACCCCCTCTGGTAACTGACTAACAGCAGACTGGTGTGCCGAACTACACACATAGGAAGCAGGAAGAGACTACCCCTAAGTGGCAGAAGCGAGGAACTCTGTCTTTTTGCTCTCTTTTCTCTTTTCTCTCATCCCATTGTTGGCCACTCTGCCTGGCAGCACACCCGGAGCTCTCCAGCTTCCCTCCAATCACCCCCGGACGGGGAACTCCCCTCCCTGATCTCCTGAGGCTTGAAAAGAAGTCTAGGGCATCAGAGATTTCTCTCCGCTCTGCCAAATGCTCCCCAATTCCCTGACCCTTGCAGGGAAACTGATCTGAGAGAAGCTTTCACTGAGCTGACAGAGGTTAGGGCGCTTCTTGTCCCTAAGCACAGGCGCCTGTGAAAGGTGTCCCCCAGCCTGGGTCTCTGCTGTGAGTGTGGGCAGCGTTAAGTGTCACAGCCAAGTGTTCCTTCCCCAACGAGAAACCGGAAGGAGGTTTTTTTTGCCTTTTTTCCACTCCCTACCTGAATTCCGGGACCAGGTTAGGCTGCAACCCGTAGAAAGCAGCGGAGAGAGTGACCAGCCACCCGGGCTTGTAACTCCCGTTCTCGCACTCCAGATAAGGCGGAGACCACTTGACGTGGCTCTTGTCCCCGCCAAGTCCGTCCCTGCGCCGCCAGCTATGGCCCAGGCTCCGGGGGCCCTGATTAGAGCCTCGGCGGTGTAAGTGGGTCCTCCACTTGCGCCGCAGGCCGTGGAACCACTCCGTCTCCAGCGTGGCGTTGGCCAAGTGGTGTGCCGAGGAGGACAGATCTTGGAGCAGGATGCGACTCTCTTCGCGGGTGGCCTGGAGGAAAACCTGCGGGGCCGGCGCGGACAGCGACTCGGTGCTGAAGGTGATGGCTGCCCGGGAAATGCTGGGTTCGCCCTCCAGGAGACTCCGCACCAGTGCCTGGTACCACTCCAGGTCGTCCTGCAAGTTCTGCTCCCGCGACTTATTGCTCTGCAGCATCATGTTGAGGAAGTTAGTGGCGTGTGTCAGCGTGTCCAGCGCCCCGTGCAAGGAGGGATGGGAGCTGGCTAGGGCTGACGACTTCCCTGGCAGGCCCGCCAACTCGTAGCGGCCGGAGCAGTTGGCTCGCTTCAGCTGGTGGGAGTCCCCGGTGTAGAGGTAAGAGGCCACGTCCATGGGCACCTCCTCGGCGAGTTTCTGCGCCAAGATGGTGCCGTCGGTGGAGCGGCTCCAGGGAGCTGAGGGGTCCGAGGCAGAGGCTCGAGCCGGCTGCTGGGCGTGCTGCTTCAGCCTCAGAGTTCTCTCTCGAGGGGAATCCAGCCGTCCCGGAGGGTCGCGGCCGGTGCTAACAGTTCCCAATCCCAGATGAGCAAGCAGGAGGCAGAAGAGTAAGGGATAAGCCATGGCTCCCATCTGCTTCGCAGAGACGAAAGGAGGTAACGGGAGACACTTTTTAAAATTTGGTCGTCAATTTATCAAAGTAAGACTTTTACTAGGAGTCGGCCGCCTTCTCCAAATGGCACCCAGTCGAAAGGGACTTCAAAATAAGAATGTTTCGGAATTGGCCCGGCTGGCTGAGCTACCGTCACAGGAAATCAAATCACCTGTGGCAACGCTGGCTGCACCCGCTCCATAATGGGTCGGCTCGGGATTACGCACCTCACAGCCTTGAGCCGAACAGGTTACATCCCCTCTCGCTCCCGGCGGCTATAGTTAGCCTGCTTACGTCTTTCTGCTCAGCAGCTTCCACCGCCGCGCTCATTGAGGTGTGTTCGAGAGCTGCTGCTGCTGCTGCTGCCGCGGCGGCCGCCAAAGACGCTGCTCCATCATCTCACCCGTGGCAGGTCGTTCCCGCCTCCCGGCTCTGGCTCCTCCTCGTTCGCTTCGCCTGGAGGCGCGGAGTGCGCGCACACAGATCCGCTCCGCGAGCGCAGGACTGAGTCCCAAAGAGCGGAGATTCCTTTTAAGACGTGGTCTCTCTGGAGTTTATAGGACCAGGCAACTGGTTCATGGGAGCCCTCAGGTTTGGCCACGAACCACACTCCTGTCTCCCCCTGCTCTGGAGGAAAGCCTGTTTAAAGAGGCAGCTTGGCCGCAACCAAACCCTTGAGGGGCGGCTTCAAGCCGTCTTCTTCCCTGTTTGGTCGGCTCCTCTGTCAATCAGCCGACTGCCATTTGTTGGGCTGGGGCGGGAGCTGTCCAGTGCTGAACCCGAGGCGGCACGGAGGAGGCGCAGGAGGAGGCGGTGGCTCGGGATGCAGCAGCACCGAGTCCTTTCACCCACTCGCGTTCCCTGATGACTCGGAAACCTGAGGGGGTGGGGGTGGGGTGGGCGGGAGTGAAGGGAGAAGCAGAGCGTTTGTGGCTCAGAGCGAAGGAAACTTGGACGTACTGAGGAGGAGGGTGTTGGCGTCTTGCATGCTTAGCTAAATCAGCCTTTTCTTTTGCCTGGAAAAGAGGGAGAAAGGAGTTTTCATTCCTGACTTAAATCGAAGGGGGGGGGGGGACGTAGGATGGAGACGTGTCCTCCCGAGCATCTGCTCATTTTAGGCAAATTATCAAATCCTCCTCCTTATTGTCGGTTAAAGAAATGATTAAAAGCTACTTGCAAGGTCTTAGCTATGAGGGAGTAATGGAGACATCTACCGGCTGAGCTTCGAGAAAAAAAAAATGCTATATTTAAGGAACCTTTGCCTGAAAGGGGGCCAGGACAGAGGGGATGTGAAAGTGTATGCAAGTGAATATGTGAACGGAGAGACATGTGCCAGAGGTGGGACTCAGATGTGAGAGAATGAGAATGACTGAGTCTGTGTTGACTGAACAGGGAAGTCATTCTGACTGGGAGTTTTTAGAGTTAATAGATATGAGAACCAAGACATCGAGTTAACTACAGGTTGGGATACCCCAGCAAAAGAAATAAGAGATACAGAATAATATTCATGTATTATAATAATAATAAGCTGAATAATATGTGACCCCCCCCCCATTACTGGGAAATCCCTCAACAAAGTCTAATCGTTTTATTTGAAATTTTAAGGATGTCTTCTGATCCTCAGAAAATACTAATTACTACTGGATATGTAGTGTTTTATGGATCTCTACTTCCCATAGGCATCTCTGTTGTCAAATTCCCCAAGAAAGATAATCCCAAATTTACTTCAGTTCCTAACCAACAAAAATGGCAATAATGGCATTCTGGGATCGCACTGCTTAGATTTACTTTATCATTTCATTTCATCCTCCCTATTGAGAAAATACCTGAGCACTGAAATGTAAGTTCCAAAGAAAAAAAGAGGTTGTCTGTATTGGTCACTGTAAGGGCGCCTGGGGTGGCTGTCACTAAGCATCTGCCTTCGACACAGGTCATCATCCCAGGGTCCTGGGATCAAGCCCCCGCATCAGGCTCCGTGCTCAGCAGGAAGCTTGCTTCTCCCTCTCCCACTCCCCCAGCTTGTGTTCTCTCTCTCACTGTCTCTTTGTCAAATAAATAAATATCATCTGTATTGGTCACTGTAGTATCCTGAGCGCTTAGAACTCACAGAACTGCCTAGTACATAGTAGGTTCTCACTAAATATTTGATAAATTAATGAATGAACCAGAAGATCGTAATGATGAAGCTAATTATTTCTAAATCCACGTGCTTACCTAAGAAGAAAAGTTTGCCCAATAGGTCAATGACAAGGACTTTTAGAATGAGACCGAGTAACAAGTTTTCCAAACTATAGCACATGATCGCCAAGTGAAATTTTATACTTATGCAAAGAATGCTTACTAGATTTATACTTATTTACAAGTAGATTTCATGTTCATATCCGACTTCTGTTTAAAATTTGCTTTGCAGTGTATACTCCTTTGCTAAATAAATGCCACCCTGGTTTAATGCTCTACTGTAGCACACGTGGCAGTAGTAACAGGAGTTTGTTTGCTTAATTTATCAGAGTATATAATAAGTTCTTCAATCTATATAACAAGCTAAGGATTGAAATGTAATTTCCTCATTAATTGATATTCTTAGAAAACATAAAATTTATTAACAGTTCTTTAAAATTGTCCAGTATGGGATTTTTTTAAAAAGAGGATATAATCTTATTAGTATGCCCCTCTATAAGTAATTCAATGACTGAACATAATAAAAGATTTGGGTTCTGGTACCAGCATTCTCCTAAACAAGATTTATGATCACTGGCAGACATTTAAAGTTTCCAGGTCTTGGGACACAAATTGGTCTTCATGACTTAACACTGAAGGAATACTGAATGGTACCTAAGCCACTCTCCAGAGGTACCAGCCCTCCCCTAGCTAATATCTGTCAAGAGAAGAGCACACTATGAAAGGCTTTTGGAATTTTAGCATTCCCTTCAGTGGCTCACCCTCAGTCTATACTGTCAAATAACTGAGGTAGACTAGTTGGGTCTAGAACAATGCCAAAAATAGAAATATAATGTGAGCTACAAATGTGATTCATACATATAATCTTAAATGTTCCAGTAGCACATTTAAAAAGTAAAAAAAAAGTAAAATTATTTTTAATAATGTATTTTATTTGACCCAATATATCCAAAATAATATTTCAATAAGTAAATAATTGAACAATTATTAGTGAGATATTTTACATTTTTATACAAAATATTCAAAATCCAATGTATATTTTACACCTACAACACAGGGCATTTCCCACTAGCGACATCTCCAGTGTGACCAGAGGCTACCATAGAATACAGGCTCAATCAAGAAGATAGCACATTGTGGTCTTGAATGTTCTAGAAACCTAAGTACACACAAGATTGAGATAAGGAGTCCTGGTCCATTTAATAGGTCTGGAGTCAAGGTAGCTGAGTAGTAGACGACCCTTTGTCAATGTCAGCATCCATCAATGAAGGAAATAATCCAAAAGAGGTTTTTATAAGAGACCAAGATTTAACACATCCTCATACACCTCTAAACAAATCACAAGATTCCACACCAGCTCACAAAGACATATTCATTCAACAGATGCTGATTGAGGTTCTACTCCATATCGGGCATTAGGGTTGCTATTGGGGCAAACTAAACACATCTTCTGCGTAATAGACACATGGATCTTACAATCAACTGTGTAGAGACAGACATAATAAAAAGAGAAAACAAACTTAAAAAATTACATACAGTGGTAAGTGCCATGAAGAAATAAACACTGTAGAGATCTGAAGGGGCACATGCACCCGAATGTTTATAGCAGCAATGTCCACAATAGCCAAACTATGGAAAGAACCTAGAAGTCCATCAACAGATGAATGGATAAAGAAGATGTGGTATATACATACAATGGAATACTATGCAGCCATCAAAAGAAATGAAATCTTGCCATTTGCAACGATGTGGATGGAACTTGAGGGTATTATGGTGAGCGAATTAAGTCAATCAGAGAAAGACAATTATCATATGATCTCCCTGATATGAAGAATTTGAGAGGCAATGTGGAGGGTTTGGGGGGTAGGGAAGGAAAAAATGAAACAAGATGGGATCGGGAGGGAGATAAACCATAAGAGACTCTTAATCTCACAAAACAAACTGAGGGTTGCCGGGGGGAGGGGCGTAGGGCGAGGGTGGTTGGGTTATGGACATTAGGGATGGTATGTGCTATGGTGAGTGCTGTGAAGTGTGTAAACCTGGCTATTCACAGACCTGTACCCCTGGGGCTAATTAATACATTTTATGTTAATAAAAATAAAATTAAAAAAAAAATAAACACTGTAGAGTGATAAAAACTACAGTGTATGGAGACAGGAACCTTCTTATATAAAGAGATAAAGAAAAGAAAAACTTCTATGAAAAGGTAACAATTGAGCTGAGACTTCAAGAATGAGGAGCAGTTAGCCAGGTGGTAGATAGTAATGAACTAGCTAAAGACAAGATGGAAAGAAACTTAGCTAGAGGGAGTAATATATGAGTCCACTAAGACTACAAATATTCCATTCTTAACAGGAAAGAGGGCTGGAAGAAAATAACTTTAATAACCTGAAGTTCATATATAATATGACAAGTACAAACAATTGAGACAAAAAGAAAATCATTTTATACAGTAATCAAGTGATTCTGGCATGAATAGCACCCACCCCCACCCACACCACCAATTAAGTGAAAATAATTTGTACATATAGATAAATACCCCTGTGTGGCCTCAAAATTAAGAATGAAATTGTCTAAACAGATGTGGATACCACATAGGAGTTTGACCGTAATAGAACAATGCATACAAGACCCGTCGGCCCTCTGCAAAAAGGCCCAAAGCTTTTCATCATGGCCTGAGAAGTCAGTCTAATTGCCTGAGAATGGTTTAGTGTGCACTGATGAAAAAGCAATATGCAGTGGAGTCAGTTATTGGTTGTCATATGACTAATTTATCAATATTATAAAAAAGATGTGATGTCTGCATATCTTG